CACAGTGATGTCATGGCTCTACCTTAATGAAGCATGGGAAACAGAGTCCAACATTTGAAGACATGAAGAAGTAGCATTCTTATAAAAAAGGTCAGATTAAAAAAGTGGCAGAGACAAGGCGCTTTTTTACTCCAAAAGAAAAACATGTCTTACTACGGAAGAAGCAGCCCAGTTTAACTTTTAATTTTTTCACAAGTTTATCAATAAAAGGTTGGAAGGTGAGGGAGTTATCAATTAAAATTCCAGGGTATTTATATTCATGTACCACCTCAACGACATTCCCCTCCAGAGTGGACACTACTGGCAGGGTTTTAGACACCTTCCTATTATTTAAAAACAACATTAACTTTGCTTTGTCAGCATTAAGAAACAATGTAAGATTAATAAATTAATACTTTACAGCAACAAAGGCTTTCTGTAGGGAATAAATAGCCTGTATTAGCATCAGAAAAATTGTCGCTGTACAGGATAAATAAGAGGGGGCCCAAAACAGATCCTTGTGGAACACCTTTGTGAACAATAACACATTCTGAACAAAGCCCCTCACATTTTATACACTGGGATCTGTTTTCTTTCCTTCCTTTTGCTTATGCTTTTTAGAATAATAAATCCGCATTAATTGACCTTTTTTCTTAGGTTCATCTGATTTTAAGGAAGAGGTTTTGCCACCAGCAGCTTCCAGATAAACTAGAAGGAGTGGAGGCCCAACACAAGTCAGTGAATTTATCCCGCATTTGAATAACTTTATTGCGTTACAGATGAAGTGATTCACTTGTCCCTGTTTACCTGCAGACACCTGGTGGAGCTGCTGAAGCGAACAGCGGTCCACGGGGAGAGCAACTCCGTTCTCATTGTCGGCCCTAGAGGAGCTGGAAAAACCACGGTGAGCATCCATGGTAAGAGAAATGACCAATTGTGACTGAGGCGTAACATGTGGTTGTTTATGTGCAGCTGCTGAGGAGTGTGCTGAGGGAGCTGTCAGAGGTAACAGAGGTGCAGAAAAACCTCCTGCAGGTTCACCTCAACGGTAAGCTTCAGTAGCTTTAAGTGATGAACTAAAGCAAAGAGGTCTTCATGCATCCGTCTGTGGCTTTTCCAGGTCTTCTGCAGACGGATGACAGAATAGCGCTGAAAGAGATAACGAGGCAGCTGCACCTAGAGAACGTTGTCGGCGACAGAGTGTTTGTGAGTCATAATGAACATTTCTAGTAGGAAAAAAAAAATGCAGGAAAAAACAAGATTTCTGTTTGGTTTCAGGGAAGCTTTGCAGAAAACTTGGCTTTCCTTCTGGATGCGTTGAAAAAAGGGGATCGCAGCAGCAGCCGTCCGGTCCTGTTCGTCCTGGACGAGTTCGACCTGTTCGCCCACCATAAGAACCAGACCCTGCTCTACAACCTGTTTGACGTTTCCCAGTCTGCCCAGGCACCCATCGCCGTGGTCGGCCTCACCTGCAGGCTGGTGGGTCACGCTTCACTCGGTTCTGAGAATAAAGTCAGAATTCTGACGTTTTTCCCATGGTAAACTGAGATAAAAATTAAAAATCAGCTTTTTTTCAGTAGCCCTAATCCTCTTCCGTAAATATCCCTTTAATAAAGTTCTGTAAGAAAACA